GCAATTACAGGTGTTGGCTCAAATCTGATTAGAAGAAAAGTAAGTACTGTAAATAGCTATGTTAAAAATATATTTCAAATTCACACAACAATTCATACAACAAGTATTATCTAGTGAAGAGACATTCATTGGCATGGTATTTACATGAACTCATTCAACACCCTTTAGCTACAACTGAAATAGCTATGTGAACTTTCTGAAAGTGATGTCCACAAGCCAAGCGCTAAACATTGACATAATAATAATCGACACTTACTTCAATTAAAGCATGAAAGTGCACACTATTTGTATGCTAAACCTATAAATAAATGTATTCATATTAGTTAGGTATCCCAGTGACAGAAGAGTCATTTCCCAAGATTCCATGGAACCATAGAAACGTTCCAAATATGGAATTTTCCACTCTTAATGAGTCCTCCTCTGGGAACCCTGGAATGGTTGGTAAATCCCATGATACCATCACACCTGTTGCCCCCTCGCTTGACTGATCCTGTCGTTGGCTGCACTTCCACGTGACTATTGTGTGTAACTATTGTGAGCGTGTGTATGTGTTTGTGTGTGAGAGAGTGTGCGTGTGTGTGTTTACTGTATAGCCACCTTTGTTGCCAAAATAGCCCCCCCATGCTAAGAGAACGTCTGACTATTATTTTCCACCATTCCATGCTGTCAGCATGCTCACAGTTCATCTGTCACAGTACATCCAGTGGAGAGCTTAGCTTAGCTCACCGTGAGAGGAATGGTAACCTTTGCAAAAGGTATTGTTCTCTCCCAAAGCCATGGGTATGCTGTCTGCTCTGTGGGTTGCTTTGATCTATAGAGGGTTATGTCATCAACACACAGCAAATTGACCAGTGTTGATTTTTCAGTGTGACATTTCTCGTGTTTATTCAGGAGTTAAATTCACTCTGTAAGAGTGAAAGTAACACTCAGTTGGGTAAAATAACCCCCAGTGTTAGTGTTAATAACCAGAGTTTTTGTTTTACACTGGAGAGATTAAAACAGTCCCATCAAAACCACACCAATCATCATCATATTTCCCAGCATGCTGTACTGCAGGTAGATTTTTTAGGATTGTTTTTAATGTCTGTGTTTTTACATGTACATTGATTGATTAATCTTAAACTACACAAAGATAAATAACATACATTTTTCTAAACTATTCCAATAAGTTAGTTAGCTTTATTGTACCCGTTACTGAAATTGTTGTTCCAGTTTAAATGATTTAGGTAGTCTTCTTATCCAATTTTCATAAGAAGAAGAACCCTGACAGTCATTCTGAATGCAGGTTGCGGTCGAATAACAATTCCAACTGTTGGATATCCTAACTCTGGCTGGATTTCAATAGGAATTACACAACACTTTGCAAGCCAGCATAATGTAACTTGCAGACCTGATTCGGCCTGCAAACCATTATTTTCCTAACACTACTGTGTTAGGGTCAAAGTAAGGACATGATGTATGTACTGTCATAGTTACATTTTTAGGTACTCAGTTGGTGAAAGCCACAGGCCTTTAAAATAAAATAATTCAGTAACCATGTCTCTATCGCTAACAAATACAGTCATGGGTGGTAACTCTACAATTCACTTGAAAAGAAAAGGCACTCTGGGAAATATGCAAATTGGGCATTACACCATACAGTGTTAAAACAACACCCACAAATGATTTACTGTAACACTACAGGTGTTAATTTCTTACACTGAGAAAGTGTAACAGTGTCAGCATTACGCAAAGCGAGTCCAGTTTACTCTAAATCAAGTGTTATGTTTTACACTGTAGGTGTTGTGCATTACTCTACAGTAGAGCTATGCAAACACCACAATCTAGTTCATTTGAACACTTTAAGAGTTTAATTGGGAACACTGCAACAGAGTTAAATCTTTAACACTTTCAAAAGTGTTGTTTTAACACCAGTACAGTGGGACTCATATGTTCACTGTAAATAGTGTGCATTTTACACTTTCATAGTTAAATGTACACCACTGATTTTGCTGTGCAGGACTGTCCATTTATAGATTGGAGGTGTTGTACAAACGGCAAACTGTTTGTGTCGGTCACCCAAACGACAACTCTGGAGTCTGATAGGCTGGTCGCTTTAGAGCCAGCTCATATTAAGGATCCAATGGACAACAACAAAATAGAGTCAACAGATTTGAGGAAAATGGATGAACAAAAATGTCTTGAGGAGAGAGGTGTAACGTAAAGTCTGTGTTCACCACTGGGATTTCTTGTGCAGTCCATTACCCTGAAAAAAATAGAGATGATATTGTTAAAAACTGTATAGGGGCAATTCCATGATAATGGAATTACACTGGGACTCAGATTTTTCACCTTAAAATGTATGCCAAACAAAAACCATTGATTTCAAAGTTTAACAAACCATACAACTCTATGCAGAAGGACTACTTTCAACAATTTCCACAGAAAATTTTACAAAAACACATTTATAGGAAGAACTGTGCAGATCCAACGTTTGGTAACAGAATAAAACTAAGGGAGATTTTACCGTAATTCTGTTACCAAACTTCGCATCGGCACAGTTTTTCCTGTAATTAATATATATATATATATATATATATACATACATACAGTGGGGAGAACAAGTATTTGATACACTGCCGATTTTGAAGGTTTTTCTACTTACAAAGCATGTAGAGGTCTGTAATTTTTTATCATAGGTACACTTCAACTGTGAGAGATCTAAAACAAAAATCCAGAAAATCACATTGTATGATTTTTAAGTAATTAATTGGCATTTTATTGCATGACATAAGTATTTGATACATCAGAAAAGCAGAACTTAATATTTGGTACAGAAACCTTTGTTTGCAATTACAGAGATCATACGTTTCCTGTAGGTCTTGACCAGGTTTGCACACACTGCAGCAGGGATTTTGGCCCACTCCTCCATACAGACCTTCTCCAGATCCTTCAGGTTTCGGGGCTGTCGCTGGGCAATACAGACTTTCAGCTCCCTCCAAAGATTTTCTATTGGGTTCAGGTCTGGAGACTGGCTAGGCCACTCCAGGACCTTGAGATGCTTCTTACGGAGCCACTCCTTAGTTGCCCTGGCTGTGTGTTTCGGGTCATTGTCATGCTGGAAGACCCAGCCACGACCCATCTTCAATGCTCTTACTGAGGGAAGGAGGTTGTTGGCCAAGATCTCGCGATACATGGCCCCATCCATCCTCCCCTCAATACAGTGCAGTCGTCCTGTCCCCTTTGCAGAAAAGCATCCCCAAAGAATGATGTTTCCACCTCCATGCATCACGGTTGGGATAGTGTTCTTGGGGTTGTACTCATCCTTCTTCTTCCTCCAAACACGGCGAGTGGAGTTTAGACCAAAAAGCTCTATTTTTGTCTCATCAGACCACATGACCTTCTCCCATTCCTCCTCTGGATCATCCAGATGGTCATTGGCAAACTTCAGACGGGCCTGGACATGCGCTGGCTTGAGCAGGGGGACCTTGTGTGCGCTGCAGGATTTTAATCCATGACGGCGTAGTGTGTTACTAATGGTTTTCTTTGAGACTTTGGTCCCAGCTCTCTTCAGGTCATTGACCAGGTCCTGCTGTGTAGTTCTGGGCTGATCCCTCACCTTCCTCATGATCATTGATGCCCCACGAGGTGAGATCTTGCATGGAGCCCCAGACCGAGGGTGATTGACCGTCATCTTGAACTTCTTCCATTTTCTAATAATTGCGCCAACAGTTGTTGCCTTCTCACCAAGCTGCTTGCCTATTGTCCTGTAGCCCATCCCAGCCTTGTGCAGGTCTACAATTTTATCCCTGATGTCCTTACACAGCTCTCTGGTCTTGGCCATTGTGGAGAGGTTGGAGTCTGTTTGATTGAGTGTGTGGACAGGTGTCTTTTATACAGGTAACGAGTTCAAACAGGTGCAGTTAATACAGGTAATGAGTGGAGAACAGGAGGGCTTCTTAAAGAAAAACAACAGGTCTGTGAGAGCCGGAATTCTTACTGGTTGGTAGGTGATCAAATACTTATGTCATGCAATAAAATGCTAATTAATTACTTAAAAATCATACAATGTGATTTTCTGGATTTTTGTTTTAGATCCCATCTCTCACAGTTGAAGTGTACCTATGATAAAAACTACAGACCTCTACATGCTTTGTAAGTAGGAAAACCTGCAAAATCGGCAGTGTATCAAATACTTGTTCTCCACACTGTATATATATTATTATTTTACTGTGTAAATTGTTCAAAGTAGTCATTGTGCATAGAGTTGTATGGTTTGTTAAACTTTGAAATCAATGGTTTTTGGTTGGCATACATTTAAAAGTGAAAAATCTGAGTCTCACAGTAATTCCGTTACCGTGGAATTGCGCATAAGCCTAACGTTATAAATATGCATAGTGTAATGAAAGTCCTAATGCAATGTGCGTGTGAAAAAAGACTGAATTGATAAGAGGACTGTTTGTAGCACCAGAAAGAAGTAAGAAACCCACAGGACGAATGAAGTGAAAGATAAGACAGGTCCAAAACAGGAACATCTCAATAAGACAAAAAGATGGAAAGAAAGAAACAAAAGCAATATATTCCCTGGGAATGTAGAACTAAAAACCATCCAATAAGAGTGTACAAGAGCAGGAAGAGAATGAACGTCAAGGTGAAACATAGACAAAGAGAGAATTCATCAGGAGGAACCCGTAGGTAGAACAAGTTGCTATGGATACGGTTATACGGTAGAGTTGAGAGGATTGCTTGTGCTGTGTGCAGACACAAACAGAGGCTAGAGAACAGGACGCAGCAGGGAGAAAGGTGAGGAGAATGTGTCCGAGTACAGCAGGTGTTCGTCCCAAATGGCACCCTTTTCCCTATTTAGTGCACTACTTTTGACCGGGCTCTGATCAAACGTAGTGTAATATAAAATGAATAGTGTGCCATTTAGGACGCACACCAGAGGACATGGGCTTTCTATCTCCACCTACACTGTGGCCCTGCTGTGTTTGTGTGTCTGCGGCCTCGTCGGTGCGTACTGACAGGGTACTGCCCCCTCTGTGGGCCGGGGAGCTGTTGTTGATGGAGGCTCGGGGGATGCGAGACTCATAGGACATTTCCTGCTGCAGCCAACGATACACATGGGCCACAACATGCACATCAGCATCCAGACAACAGAGAAGGGAATAATATTAAAACAAATGGATATTAATAAGGTTCCGCTTTCTTTTTAAGAGAGAATTGAAAAACTAATCAACAACAATCTGAGGCTGTGTGTGTGTGTGTGTGTGTGCAGACGTGCCTGTGTGTGTGTGTGTGCATGGACAAACAACTGATGGCCAGTACTCACATTCCCCATTCCCTTGCTAATGATAGCTAGCTCTGTGGGCTGGTAGACAGAACTGCGGAGCTGACCACTGTAGCCGCTGTATGGGGACACAACCTTCGGACCTGAAAGATACAACAACAAGAAAACAGACAACATTAGATCTGAATCATATACCTTGGGACAATGGATACTTTCTTCATATAAAACACACTTTCAACTTCTTATCTCAATCAATCAGTCAGATATCCAGCTCTCAAGCGTTATCCTCCTCTAGGTCAGGTGTATTCAACTCTTACCCTACGAGGTCCGTCGTCTGCTGGTTTTCTGTTCTACCTGATAATTAATTGCACCGACCTGATGTCCCAGGTCTAAATCAGTCCCTGATTAGAGGGGAACAATGAAAAACTCAGTGGAACTGGCTTCGAGGTCCAGAGTTGAGTTTGAGGGCTCTAGGTATTCAGTGTTCCCAAGCAACCAGTCATGGTAGCTTGGTCTTGTATTTAACCACCATGACAAGATCATAAACCACTGATGTAGGCTATAAGGGTGGAATTCAGACCCAAGTTATGTGCGCACGTAAAAGGAACTTAATTCCAGTTTTATGCAATTTTCTCTCTGCGCCTATTCTGACCTTGAACTTAAGCATGGGGAAACGCATGTGCCAGCCATGTATTCGTTTGGGGTGGAGATCACAGAAAGGTGGAGGTATGGCAGAGGTGTGTCTACAGATACGCCATATTCAGACCTTGACTTAATTCCCTCATAATTCCACCACCTTTACGCATGAGGAAACCATGGATAAGGTCTAGCGAACCTGTTGGTTCCAAGTGGAAAAACAGCGACTTTATTTTTCCCGATAGTAATAGCATCATTCTCCATGCACTGTAATTTATAAATTGATAAGAGCTAGGTAAATGAGTAATCTGTTTGGATAAGGGGATTGTAAATATAAATGACAATTGTTTTAGATCTATTTTACACTATGATCGCTGGAGACAAATGTGAAATCAGTCATATGGCAGCAAACTGAAAAGCACATCAACATGACAGGTATTTATGCCCCTTTGCCACAGGGAAGTATGAAATGCTGTGCCGTTATGCAGAATTTAAATTGTATGGCCTTATAACTTTCAGGGATGAATCCTGGAGACGCAAGACGCAAGGCAAAGCCGAGCATAATGACAGTCCAAATTTAAACTTTGTGCACTCTAGAATGTTTTAATTATATTCCCAGATTTTTCCTGTTTCCTACAATTTCCTATAATGTTAAATATTATTAGCCACTATCGGTAGTGACCGTAAGTAATAACCACACATATATAACTGCCAATTTAGTGTTAGTTCCTTTCAGTTGGTAGGCCTACCCTACATTTCATTACATTGTTTGATTTAGCCTATCTTTATTTGTTTCCTCTGTAAATGCTGTCACGTCCATGTGGTTGTTGCTGAGGGTTGCTAGCAATAATGAATAATATTTAATTGCAAGTTGCGCAATAATGTGGGACATGTAGCCTATTTGAATCATTATGGAATGCAGACAAAATATGGCAGTTTAAACCTGGAGCCCGACGCACGGTTCATGACGACTGGACCGTTGTCATCACAGTTCCATCATCAGTGAGGATTAAGGTAGATTTATATGACTGTTGTTCAACCACTTTCTACACTTTTCTCCCCTTTATTTATATTTAATGGATTGAACAACTGAATATGGCAACTTTCAGGATGAATCAAACCTCTATTTTTTATTCTCTCAACACCTGTTATTTTTATGAAGTAGGTAGATTCATAAATACTTTCCTAACCCTAAATAAGCGTTTCCCAAACAAGGGGTCACCACCTGATTTTAAAATGGGGTCACTGGAGAAACAGGTTTATACTCAAACGCAGCTAAGCTATCAAGCTCAATCTATAAGACGTCAGTATCGCTATCCTCCTTGTATGTCTGTAATATTGAAAGTAAACAAAAACTAAGGGTGCAGTTCGGTTTTCAGTGGGAAACTCGAGCTGTCACGGTCATCAGGTTTATATTTGGACCCAGATGCAGCTGAGCTATCAAACTCAATCTGTAAGACGTAAGACGTCCTCTTTGTACATCTGTAATATTGAAATTAAAACTAATCAAAACTTTCAACAACAACAAAAATATTCAATGTGATGACATTCGATCAACGTGGAAAACTGATTGAAATACTGTAAAAAATACTGACTGACTTGCTATAATTGTTATAGCCCCAAATAAAAAAATTAACACTGGCTGTTGATTACAACACTTTTTTTTCCAACTGTGCATCCTCTATAAACGATGGTATTGTGGATCAGACCTGGGCAGAAAATGGTTGTATTTTGTAGTTAAAATACAAACTTTTCAAATACTCTATGTAGTTGAATATAGAGAATCAACTAAAGGCAACTATTTCCTTTGAAAACAACCCATTAATTTAGGGGATGGTTGCCAAATATTTGATAAAGAACCAAAAACTAGAACAGTTAGTTTAGTTTCTCCCATTCTTCTCTGTAGATCCTCTCAAGCTCTGTCAGGTTGGATGGGGAGCGTCGCTGCACAGCTATTGTCAGGTCTCTCCAGTGATGTTTGATTGGGTTCAAGTCCGGCCTCTGGCTGGGCCACTCAAAGACTTGTCCCGAAGCCACACTTGCGTTGTCTTGGCTGTGTGCTTAGGATCGTTGTTATGTTGGAAGGTGAACCTTCGCCCCAGTCTGAGGTCCTGAGCGCTCTGGAGCAGGTTTTCATCAAGGATCTCTCTGTACATTGATCCGTTCATCTTTCCCTTGATCCTGACTAGTCTCCCAGTCCCTGCTGCTGAAAAACATCCCCACAGCATGAAGCTGCCACCACCATGCTTCACCGTAGGGATGGTGCCAGGTTTCCTCCAGACGTGACGGTTGGCATTCAGGCCAAAGAGTTCATTCTTGGTTTCATCAGACCAGAGAATCTTGTTTCTCATTGTCTGAGAGTCCTTTAGGTGCCTATTGGCAAACTCCAAGCGGGCTGTCATGTGCCTTTTACTGAGTGGCTTCCGTCTGGCCACACTACCATAAACGCCCGATTGGTGGAGTGCTGCAAAGATGGTTGTCCTTCTTGAAGTTTCTCCCATCTCCACAGAGGAACTCTGTCAGAGTGACCATCAGGTTCTTGGTCACTTCCCTAACCAATGACATTCTCAGTTTGGCTGGGAGGCCAGCTCTAGGAAAAGTCTTGGTGGTTCCAAACTTCTTCCGTTTAAGAACGATGGAGGCCACTGTATTCTTGGGGACTTTCAATGCTGCAGACATTTTTTGGTACACTTCCCCAGATCTGTGCCTCGACACAATACTGTCTCGGAGCTCTACGGACAATTCCTTCGACCTCATGGCATGGTTTTTACTCGGACAAATCATGTCCAATCAATTGAATTGACCACCGGTGGACTCCAATCAAGTTGTAGAAAGATCTCAAGGATGATCAATGGAAACAGGATGCATCTGAGCTCAATTTCGAGTCTCATAGCAAAGGGTTTGAATACTTACAGTTGAAGTCGGAAGTTTACATACACTTAGGTTGGAGTCATTAAAACTCGTTTTTCAACCACTCCACAAATTTCATGTTAACAAACTATAGTTTTGGCAAGTCGGTTAGAACATCTACTTTGTGCATGACACAAGTAGGTTTTCCAACAATTGTTTACAGACAGATTATTTCACTTATAATTCACTGTATCACAATTCCAGTGGGTCAGAAGTTTACAAACACTAAGTTGACTGTGCCTTTAAACAGCTTGGAAAATTCCAGAAAATGATGTCATGGCTTTAGAAGCTTCTGATAGGCTAATTGACATCATTTGAGTCAATTGGAGGTGTACCTGTGGATATATTTCAAGGACTACCTTCAAACTCAGTGCCTCTTTGCTTGACATCATGGGAAAATCAAAAGAAATCAGCCAAGACCTCAGAAAATAAATTGTAGACCTCCACAAGTCTGGTTCATCCTTGGGAGCAATTTCCAAACGCCTGAAGGTACCACGTTCATCTGTACAAACAATAGTACGCAAGTATAAACACCATGGGACCACACAGCCGTCATACCGCTCAGGAAGGAAACGCGTTCTGTCTCCTAGAGATGAACGTACTTTGGTGCGAAAAATGCAAATCAATCCCAGAACAACAGCAAAGGACCTTGTGAAGATGCTGGAGGAAACAGGTACAAAAGTATCTATATCCACAGTAAAACGAGTCCTATATCGACATAACCTGAAAGGCCGCTCAGCAAGGAAGAAGCCACTGCTCCAAAACCGCCATAAAAAAGGTAGACTACGGTTTGCAACTGCACATGGGGACAAAGATCATACTTTTTGGAGAAATGTCCTCTGGTCTGATGAAACAAAAATAGAACAGTTTGGCCATAATGACCATCGTTATGTTTGGAGGGAAAAGGGGGTGGTTGCAAGCCGAAGAACACCATCCCAACTGTGAAGCACGGGGGTGGCAGCATCATGCTGTGGGGGTGCTTTCCTGCAGGAGGGACTGGTGCACCTCACAAAATAGATGGCATCATGAGGAAGGAAAATTATGTGGATATATTGACGCAACATCTCAAGATATCAGTCAGGAAGTTAAAGCCTGGTCGCAAATGGGTCTTCCAAATGGACAATGACCCCCAGCATACTTCCAAAGTTGTGGCAAAATGGCTTAAGGACAACAAAGTCAAGGTATTGGAGTGGCCATCACAAAGCCCTGACCTCAATCCTATAGAACATGTGTGGGCAGAACTGAAAAAGCATGTGCGAGCAAGGAGGCCTACAAACCTGACTCAGTTACACCAGCTCTGTCAGGAGGAATGGGCCAAAATTCACCCAACTTATTGTGGGAAGCTTGTGGAAAACTACCCCAAACATTTGACCCAAGTTAAACAATTTAAAGGCCATGCTACCAAATACAAATTGAGTGTATGCAAACTTCTGACCCACTGGGAATGTGATGAAAGAAATAAAAGCTGAAATAAATCATTCTCTCTACTATTATTCTGACATTTCACATTCTTAAAATAAAGTGGTGATCCTAACTGACCTGACAGGGAATTATTACTAGGATGAAATGTCAGGAATAGTGAAAAACTGAGTTTAAATGTTTTTGGCTAAGGTGTATGTAAACTTCCGACTTCAACTGTATGTAAATAAGGTATCTGTTTTTAATTTTTATAAGTTTGCAAACATTTCTAAAATCCGTTTTTCGCTTTGTCATTATGGGGTATTGTGTGTAGATTGATGAGGAAAAAAATTACTTAATCCATTTTAGAATAAGGCTGTAACGTAACAAAATGTAGAAAGAGGGAAGGGGTCTGAATACTTTCCGAATGCAGTATTTATGGATCTACACAACAAATTACTTGGGACATGGACTTATAAGACACATTTTTGTGATTTAAAATATAATTCATAATAATAATTAATACTGACAGTGTGGAGTCTTTGGACCCGTATAGACACCGGAAGTGTTAAATTAACACACTGCTTAGTGTAAAGCCTTATTCAAATATTTGCCTGAGTGCCTTTTGAGTACATTGTAGTGTTTTCACCCATGACTGATTTGTTAGTGACAGAGACATGGTTGTTGCATTCATAAATTTTCGGTCCTATGGACTTCACCAAGTGAGATCCTAAGTGAATATGTTATCATTAAAAAAACATTTATTTAACACAATACCATACATATTTCATAAGCCCTTATTTTGAGAGCCTACTTTTACCCTAATACAGGGGCCTGAAACTCATATACTTTGAACCAAAAACCATGCCCATCATTATCATATTTCCCAGCATGCTCTATTGCAGGTTGATTTTTAGGATTGTTTGTTTAAATATCTATGTTTTTGTATGTACATTGATTATGCTTATATTATATTAGTTATATTATCTTATGCTACACAAAGATAAATAACATACATTTTTCTAAACTAATCCAATCATCCAATTTTTGCACCCATTACTGAGATGTTTGTTCCAGTTTAGATGCCTTAGTCAGTCTCTTCTCAATATTTCTAACCATGATGCTCATTCTGAATGCAGGTTGCAGGTGAATACAAATTCCAACTGTTGGCTATCCTAGCTCTGGCTAGATTCGAATATGAATTATACATCACTTTGCAAGGCAGTATAATGTGACTTGCAGGTAACTTTTCCAAATTTCCCAGGTTTTCCAGAAATCCTTTTTTTTTTTTTTTGCAACATCACTAATTTTGCAACCCTATTTGCAGGCCAATTATAACTAAAGGTAAAAATGATAACCTTACTGGGTACCACTACAGTGAGGAGTGTTTGTACCCCTTTAGAAACAACTCTATACCTTTTTTTTCTTAGTGCATAATATAAAGGCCAGAAACTTATGGTTTACAGGCCACAACAGGCCTGCAAGTCACATTATGCTGGTTTGCAAGGTGATGCATAATTCCTATTTGAATCCAGCCAGTGTGGGGATAGCAACCTATTGGAATTTTTTATCACTTGCAACATGTATTCAGAATGACTGCCATGGTTGGGAAGACTAAGTTATGAGACTACCTAAAGTGGAACAACCATCTCAGTAACGGGTGCAATAAGTCCAAGTAACATATTGGATTAGTTTAGAAACTGTTTGTAATTTCTATTTGACTAGCATAATATTAATTAATGAATCACAAACATAGATATTGAAACAAAGAATTCTAAAAATCTACCTGCAATAGAGCATGCAGGGAAACATGATAATGATGGGCGTGGTTTTGGTTCAAAGTGACGTGTATGAGTTTCAGGCCCCTGTATAAACGTAAAAAAATAAGGCCTTATGAAATATGTATGGTATTTTGTTAATATTTTCATTTTTTTATGACAGTTTAGGATCTTACTTGGTGAAGTCCATTGGACAGAAAATGGATGAATAAAACAACCATGTCTCTGTCCAACAAATACAGTCACTCAAAAGGCAAGGCACTCTGGGAAATATTTGAATAAGGCTTTACATTAAAATATATATTTTTAAGTAGTTGCTTTCTCAGATCTGTATTCAAATAGTTTTAAAAAGTTGTAATTTTAGAATCCGTATTCAAATAGTTATAGTCACCTTCAAAGTAACTATTTGTTCCGCCATTATTTTGTTGTTGATTTTCCACAAAGCATATTTAAAACTATAGTTATCCCAGGTCTGGTGTGGATAATGTGAGAGACAGTTTTGTTTTCCCCCAGGTGGAAATGCCTGGCCCCCCCCTGTGAAATATCTATCCACGATGATACTGTTGCCACACCTATGGACAGATTGCCTAGCATTAAGTTTTGGGCCAGTAACTGAAAGGTCGCTGCTTTGAATCCCAGAGGTGTAAAAATCTGCTGTTTTGCACTTGAGCAAGGCAGTTAACTCCCAACAACTGCTCCCTGGGCACCAATGATGTAGACATCGATTAAGGCAGCTCCTCGCACCACTCTGATTCAGAGGGGCTGGGTTAAATGCAGAACACACATTTCGGTTGAATGCATTCAGTTGTGCAACTGACTAGGTATCTATGGAGACGGCACAGTAACGCAAACACAAGCATTGATGTTGGGACTGAATCAGAGCTGAGGAGTGTGTTGTGTCAACATTTATGTATGTATGGTACACTGATTAGGTCACTGTTTTATTCTAGACATTTACTAATGTGTGAGTAATTACAAACTCCCATTGAATCACCTGGTAGATCGGTGGTAATGGAATGTGTGTTTGGGAGAGACAACTCGGTCGCTTAACTTTTAAATAAGTCCTCGGGCTAAATAAAGACAATGATTGACTATTTAATGTTTTCATAGCTCTCTCTCATCATGAAGGACATCATCCTTCGTTCTCAGTCTCTACCAGAAAAGGTTGATGCGTTTTAAAACAAACATTTCCCTTTAATATTTAATATAATCGCCAAATATGGAAGGGTTATTTTTCTCACAACGTTCTCTTCTCATTATTAGTTTGATATGGCAACTTGTGGGCTAGGCCGGATGTTATTTTGTTTCATTTATTCAAACATGATATTCCAGTCAGTAAAAATGGTTGCTTAATGAATGCTGTATGTCCCTCTATCTTCTAATATTGTCTTGATATGGCGTGGTGCCAGCTGACCTCTCAGCAGACCAGGACATACAGTAAGCTAATCTCTCAGTCAGGACAGAGCTGCTCACTCATAAGGCGCCATCCGCCATCCACATTACCATGTGCTATTATCCCTCCCTCCCACTCTAACCTAAGCCATGGGATGCGTCCCAAAGGGCACCCTATTCCCTATATAGTGCACTACGTTTGACCAGAGACCTATGTGCCCTGGTCAAAAGTAGTGCATGCACTATATAGGAAATAGGGTGCCATTTGGGACGCAACCCTTGTGGTGATGAGATGAGGCTAGGGCAGGCTGAGGGCAGGTAGAGCAGCATCAAAGATCTAGAGTGGGAGGAGAGGAGGGACACAGTGTCCTGTCTGGCCACGCTGCAGCCTGGTAGATCAGATAATGGTCACCAACAGGATTAAAAGCGCATCAGCATATCAAATTCTGAAGAGTTTGGAGAACGTAAACTGGGTGTGAAATTCATTACCGTTTCGATGACATTCATTGTTACTTCTTCACTGGTAGAGTGTGAAGATCGCTCCATGCAGATGACAATGTTCCCTTATTCACGTGCCTGACTGTACTGATGCAAGCTTCAGTGGCCCTCTTAATGAACCTTCGCCTCTAATGTTTGCTAGGTGTGTTAGAAACATCCACTGTGATGTGCCAGCAAGAGGACAAAACACCCTGTCGTCTAGTGAAGTGTACTAATTAGTGAAGGCAGGTAATTGATGTGGGTCAACAAGTGTCAGTGTGTGTGTGTGTGTGTGTGTGTGTGTGTGTGCAGCTTACGTATGTGCATGTGTGTGTGTGCGCACGCCTGTGTGTGTGCATCTCTACATACCTGAGTTGGGCTCATCCATAGAGAAAGCCTTGTTCTCCATAAACATATTCTGGGCTCCTTGATCTTTCAGGATGGTCTCATAGCCCACCCCTCTGCTTGGGTACAGGTCCTCTCCGAACCCCGGCACACCCCCCTCCTCCTGGGTCAGAGAGCAGATCTCTGGGATGGTGTAGAGGACCAGGAACACCCAGGCGTTGCTGACCAGGGCGATGGCCAGGGTAGGGTCATCCCAGCTGGGTCCGCCGGTTCTCAGGTTCCCCCAGACGTACATGGTGATCCAGGCCACCCAGATGAAAACAGAGAGGAGACCCGTAATGAGGATGAAGGCTCCCTCCTGGCGCCTCTGCTTGTGTTTCCCGCACAGGGAGGGTAAGGATGCCACTACGACAGCTAGGAGAAGATTCAGTACGTAGATCAGCGCCATGACAAAGTCTTGGTTGGCAATGTTACAGGGCACGTCTGCGGCCGTGCCTAGTGCTGTCCCTGTAACGTTGAGTGGTGACAGCGGGTAGCGAACAATGGTAATGATCAGCCACTCCGTGTTGATGACCACCTCCACCAGCCAGAGCCCCAGGGCTCCCAGACACAGAACCCAGGCCCGGGGCCCCTGATCCCCCCTGCGGGTCAGGAGGTTCAGCCTCACACACTGCATGAGAAGACACGCAAAGCACCCGGCGAACAGCACCCCGAAGAGGAAGCGTCGCGAGGCGCAGGTGGCGAAGTCCTTCCCTACGATGAAGGAGAAGGTGAGGCAGAAGAGGCCCAGGGTACAGATCAGGAAGCAGGCATTGATCCCCACAGAGCTCCTCCTGTTCTTGTCTGTGATGAAGGGTAGGCTGGCCAGGAGGACGATGAGGAGGATGATGGAACCCACCACGCCGGCCGCCGCGAACGACTCCAGCACGATGCCCCATACGGCGCTGAGGTCACACAGGCTGTAGTACAGGGAGTCTACAATGGAGCCACACCCCCCTGGGGTCACGCTGGCGCCCATCGAGACGGGGAGAGACCAGACAGTGACAGCGGTCGGGAGCAGAAGGAGATGAAGCCTCTTGCGTGTCTGATCCATGGAGTTCAGCAGAAACTGTTCACACAGAAAGAGAAGAGGGAGAGTCTGAGTGTGTTGGCATACGAGAAGGTTAGTGACGTTGTCATCCCTTCAGAAGAGTCACTCTCGATACACCTAGTCAGCTTGGGGATTCAAACCAGTTAACTTTTGGTTAATGGCCCAACGCTCTTAAATCACTAGGCTACCTGTCGCCCCAGTAATAACACTTAGGAATGTCAGTTGAGACACTTGTTGAGTCAATACATTCATAGAACAGCATAGTACAGGACACACACTAACAGCACATACTGTATATGTACTGCTCTAACTATAAGTTGAACTTGAGATGAGGTGCCATGAGCCTTTCGAAGTTTTAGACCAAGACTTCTCTTCGTGAAGAGTTTGTTTTGTCAAACCCATCTAAACAACTGCCAATTTTTTCAATAAGCATCCCTACAGTAGTCCCAGACATCTTTTAGTGCTGTGCCATGCCGTTTGTCTCTGTCCCTGTCAGATTACATAACGCTGAGCTGACGACAGCCATTTTATAACCAAATAGATGGAGTTCTTGTGGTGGCGGATGCTATTTAGTTTCCTGCCATGGAGCCACTGCATAGTCATAAGAGAGACATACTTTCCAGCTGCCTTAATTCAATAACCCTCATCTAATAACCTTCTCTGGCCGCAATTCTGAAAATAATGTAACAAAGTTGATGTTGTGTACTAGGGAGTAGTAGCACAACATCCGCCAATTGTTTGTGGAGGGAAGTGAGAGACAATTGTTTTGGACCTCTTGATCTCACATATACAAACACATGCATAGGCTAGTGTCACGCGCGCGCACACATGGTCTCTATGTTCCCAACCTTAAAACCAAGAAAAAGCACATGGATATGTTAACCACTCCTCTTCTGACATTAACTCTGACAATCACCAACTAAGGTCATTCAACATCAAACTGAATACCATGGAGAATGTAGATTTATTTTTTGCCATGTATCAGTTTCACTCATTGGTTTCACTTTACCCGGCCTTCATGTACATATCTACCTCAAATACCTCGTACCTATGCAAATTGTTAATAGCTCCATTCTTGTGTTATTTGTTATTTGTATTTTTAACTCTGCATTGTTGGGAAGGGCTCATCAGCAAGCATTTCACGGTAAAGTCTACAAGTTGTATTCGGCGCATGGTCACATGCAATTTGAATTGATTTGAAATGTCGTTTTTACTTTTACCGGTATTATTCTCAATCCATCGTCAATACAAATCTCAAAACCTCGCTGAAGACTTGACAAGCAGTAGCTCTGACTAATCACTCCGGAATATCACTCTTTCAAACCAATGAAATTACAGAGAAGGCGGGAATATAATGTTGCTAGCAAAAAAGGCTCACCTGATCAGGTGTGTGCTGTACATGCATCAAAAGCGATAGTCAGTGCTGTTTTAATCTGAAAATGTATCGATTAATATGTACGTTTATATAAACAGTGGTTCCTGGTCCTGGGGAACAAAAGGGGTGCATATTTTTGTTTCCCCCCTTACACTACATACACACTTTTACTCCTACCCACATGTACATACTTCAATTACGTAGCACCCCTGCACATTGACTCGGTACTGGTACTGCTTGTATATACCCTCTATTGTTTTTATTGTGTTACTATTTCATTTCATTTAACAAATATTTGTCTTACTTTTTAACTCCGCACTGTTGGGAATGGGCTCGTAAGTAAGCATTTCACTGTAAAGTCTACACCTGTTGTATTCGGCACATGCGACCAATACAATTTTTATTTTATTTGATTTCAAGGATAAAGTCATCATCAAGTTTTGATGATTTGAATCAGATGTTTTAGATGCAAAAATGGGTACCCCCAGGATTAAGAAACACTGGGCTATATAGTGTTCATATTCCATATTTTGGACATTATAACATGACGTACAAAACGTTTGCATGTGTTTCACCAAAGTTCGAATCGCAAAGTCTCTTCACAACAGATCCATGAGGCTCAACTATAGGCTTTTAACTAAATATTACATATTTTTGCGAACAATTTACAAAAACCCATGAAAGTTGTATAGTCTCGACTGGTTTTTGAGTGTCACTATTAGACCGTGCGTATTGGTTGTGTTACTAAACATTTCACTGTACCTCCACCTCTTCACAAATGAAAGAATCTGTAGAGGACCTTACCTTCCGATGTCTGTTTGTTTTAAGTCTGTTGTTCTTGGTGGTCTTTGATATTGTCGCTAGTTGCAATTAACCTCTTCCAAAAAAACGCGCTCTACATTGTCCCCAGGTAGCTTACATCCAGTGGGCTATTAAAGGTAATAGCTCTGAAAATATCTCCTATATTCCGTTTCTAGTGGTTTTGAATTACACTGCAATCTCTGCTTTTGGTCAATTCTGAAATATTGAAGACGCGGTTGGATCTCACAAAACTAGGCTTCTAGTCCTATTCATGCGGAGCGATTGGTCCCTGGATAGCGACTGCCTACTCTCTCTCTTTGTCTGTCTCTCTCTCTCTCTCTCTCTCTCCCTCACACACAAACACCATTTTGATTAATACTAACAGGGTTAAGTGTTACTGTAAATTGAATAATACAAGGAACGTTTTGTCTTGTTGACTCTACAAGGATAACAAATACAATGCATTACTTCGAAGGGAAGGGGGAGTGTGTGAACCACTTTCTAAATGACAATTTACATAGGTGTCTGATTCAAATAAATCAAGCTTGCACAGAAATTACTAGTCGTGCGCGCCATGTCCAAGTTGTGGCATTTGACCGCGGTGACTCAGAAGGTATTTAAAGCGTCCTCTCCCCGCTCCATGGATCGAACATTAATTTGCTATTGGGTTATCAAGGCTAGAAATAGGCCATTGTAAATTAAGTAGGCTATCTATTCGCGCCTCTCCTCCGAATATTTATAGCCTATGATGAAATAGAGACCCCCAATGTGTCAATAGCCTAGTTTTGCATCTGCACACACAGAAATAATCTTTCTTCATACAGTCGTGGTCAAAAGTTTTGAGAATTACACAAATACTAATTTTCACAAAGTCTGCTGCCTCAGTTTTGATGATGGCAATTTGCATATACTCCAGAATGTCATGAAGAGTGATCAGATGAAAATGAACTTAATCCCCCAAAAACATTTCCACTGCATTTCAGCCCTGCCACAAAAGCACCAGCTGCCATCATGTCAGTGATTCTCTCATTAACACAGGTGAGAGTGTTGACTAGGACAAGGCTGGAGATCACTCTGTCATGCTGATTGAGTTAGAATAACAGACTGGAAACTTTAAAAGGAGGGTGGTGCTTGAAATCATTGTTCTTCCTCTGTTAACCATGGTTACCTGCAAGGAAACACGTGCCGTCATCATTGCTCTGCACAAAAAGGGCTTCACAGGCAAGGATATTGCTGCTAGTAAGATTGCACCTAAATCAACTAGTTATCGGATCATCAAGAACTTCAAGGAGAGAGGTTCAATTGTTGTGAAGAAGGCATCAGGGCGCCCAAGAAAGTCCAGCAAGTGTCTCCTAAAGTTGATTCAGCTGCGGGATTGGGGCACCACCAGTGCAGAGCTTGCTCAGGAATGGCAGCAGGCAGGTGTGAGTGCATCTGCACACACAGTGAGGCGAAGACTTTTGGAGGATGGCCGGGTGTCGAGAAGGGCAGCAAAGTAGCCACTTCTCTCCAGGAAAAACATCAGGGACAGACTGATATTCTACAAAAGGTACAGGGATTGGACTGCTGAGAACTGGGGTAAAGTCATTTTCTCTGATGAATCCCCTTTCCGATTGTTTGGGGCATCCGGAAAACACCTTGTCCAGAGAAGACAAGGTGGGCGCTACCATCATGAATAAAGAATGGTACCAACACATCCTCAGAGAGCAACTTCTCCCAACCAAGTTAATTGACAGCATGCCAGGGCGGATTGCAGAGGTCTTGAAAAAATAGGGTCAACACTGCAAATATTGACTCTTTGCATAAACATAATGTAATTGTCAATAAAAGCCTTTGACACTTATGGAATGCTTGTAATTATACTTCAGTATACCATAGTAACATCTGACAGAAAATATCTCATAACACTGAAGCAGCGAACTTTGTGAAGACCAATACTTGTGTCATTATCAAAACTTTTGACCACGACTGTAGGATCTAAAAAAGTGGGTATGAGAAGACACCTGGTGGTAGGGCAGTGCTTACTAGACTACTAGGCCTAGTCCAACTGTTGATCATTTTGACAAAGCCACAAGGTGGCAGCACACTCCATGAACTAGAATATGTCACAAATGGAAGGCTATTTGAAATGCAACCCCTTTGCTTTTGATTGTGATAATACCATTGTTTTCGTCTTCCTTCTGTAAAAAATAATGTTTTTACCTGGTTGATACCCTTTCTCTTCTCTGCAAGCTGCCCACCCGTTCCCGCCATACCACAATGACACCCGTTCCTGCCAGACCACAATGACACCCGTTCCCGCCACACCATAATGACACCCGTTCCCGCCATACCACAATGACACCCGTTCCCGCCACACCACAATGACACCCGTTCCCGCCACACCACAATGACACCCGTTCCCGCCATACCACAATGACACCCGTTCCCGCCACACCACAATGACACCCGTTCCCGCCACACCACAATGACACCTGTTCCCGCCATACCACAATGACACCCGTTCCCGCCATACCACAATGACACCCGTTCCCGCCACACCACAATGACACCCGTTCCCACCATACCACAATGACACCCGTTCCCGCCACACCACAATTACATTTACATTTTAGTCATTTAGCAGACGCTCTTATCCAGAGCGACTTACAGGAGCAATTAGGGTTAAGTGCCTTGCTCAAGGGCACATTAACGTCATTTAGCAGACGCTCTTAGCCAGAGCGACTCACAAATTGGTGCGTTCACCCTATAGCCAGTGGGATAACCACTTTACAATTTGGGGGGGGGGGGGGGGGGGGGGGTTAGAAGGATTACTTTATCCTATCCCAGGTATTCCTTAAAGAGGTGGGGTTTCAAATGTCTCCGGAAGGTGGTGAGTGACTCCGCTGTCCTGGCGTCGTGAGGGAGCTTGTTCCACCATTGGGGTGCCAGAGCAGCGAACAGTTTTGACTGGGCTGAGCGGGAGCTATGCTTCCGCAGAGGAAGGGGAGCCAGCAGGCCAGAGGTGGATGAACGCAATGCCCTCGTTTGGGTGTAGGGACTGATCAGAGCCTGAAGGTACAGAGGTGCCGTTCCCCTCACTGCTCCATAGGCAAGCACCATGGTCTTGTAGCGGATGCGAGCTTCAACTGGAAGCCAGTGGAGTGTGCGGAGGAGGGGGGTGACGTGAGAGAACTTGGGAAGGTTGAACACCAGACGGGCTGCGGCATTCTGGATGAGTTGTAGGGGTTTAATGGCACAGGCAGGGAGGCCAGCCAACAGCGAGTTGCAGTAGTCCAGACGGGAGATGACAAGTGCCTGGATTAGGACCTGTGCCGCTTCCTGTGTAAGGCAGGGTCGTACTCTCCGAATGTTGTAGAGCATGAACCTGCAGGAGCGGGTCACCGCCTTGATGTTGGCGGAGAACGACAGGGTGTTGTCCAGGGTCACGCCTAGGCTCTTCGCACTCTGGGAGGAGGACACAGCGGAGTTGTCAACCGTGATGGCGAGATCATGGAACGGGCAGTCCTTCCCCGGGAGGAAGAGCAGCTCCGTCTTGCCAGGGTTCAGCTTGAGGTGGTGATCCGTCATCCATACTGATATGTCTGCCAGACATGCAGAGATGCGATTCGCCACCTGGTTATCAGAAGGGGGAAAGGAGAAGATTAGTTGTGTATCGTCAGCGTAGCAGTGATAGGAAAGGCCATGTGAGGATATGACAGAGCCAAGTGACTTGGTGTATAGGGAGAAGAGGAGAGGGCCTAGAACTGAGCCCTGGGGGACACCAGTGGTGAGAGCACGTGGTGCGGAGACAGCTTCTCGCCACGCCACTTGGTAGGAGCGACCGGTCAGGTAGGACGCAATCCAGGAGTGAGCCGCGCCGGAGATGCCCAGCTCGGAGAGGGTGGAGAGGAGGATCTGATGGTTCACAGTATCAAAGGCAGCAGACAGGTCTAGAAGGACAAGAGCAGAGGAGAGAGAGTTAGCTTTAGCAGTGCGGAGAGTCTCCGTGACACAGAGAAGAGCAGTCTCAGTTGAATGACCAGTCCTGAAACCTGATTGGTTTGGATCAAGAAGGTCATTCTGAGAGAGATAGCAAGAGAGTTGGCTAAAGACGGCACGCTCAATAGTTTTGGAAAGAAAAGAAAGAAGGGATACTGGTCTGTAGTTGTTGACATCAGTGGGGTCGAGTGTTGGTTTTTTGAGAAGGGGAGCAACTCTCGCTCTCTTGAAGACGGAAGGGACATGGCCAGCGGTCAAGGATGAGTTGATCAGCGAGGTGAGGTAGGGGAGAAGGTCACCGGAGATGGTCTGGAGAAGGGAGGAGGGGATGGGGTCAAGCGGGCAGGTTGTTGGGCGGCCTGCAGTCACAAGTCGCAGGATTTTATCTGGAGAGAGAGGGGAGAAAGAAGTCAAAGCATAGGGTAGGGCAATGACACCCGTTCCCACCATACCACAATGACACCTGTTCCCGCCACACCACAATGACACCCGTTCCCACCATACCACAATGACACACTCAACGTGGCCGCTAAAAGGACAAATAGAAGAATAGCTGCTTGACCTGGTTTCTTTCCTCAGCTGGTTGTTGCTGTTGTTGCCCATGTGACAAGGTAACTTCATCAAAAAATACATCACCTGGCTATCCATGATGTGTGTTGTGGTACAGACACAGCTATATGAATGTGACATATGGACAGAGACACTATTGGAATAGGTCAATCTGTAGTGTCCAATATTGATTTCATTATGTATTTTCCTGCAAGTTATCCAAAAGGAAACATCTTCTTAGTTTTGTGTTTTACTTCTGTGCCTGGGAATAACCTTTAAAGGATAGCCTTCTTTAAAATCACATCCCCATTTAATCCACACTATAGGTCAGGGATTAAAATCGATTTTAAAAAAAGTTTCAGAGTTAATTTCCTGAAATTCTACCCATTTTGCCATGGGGCGGGGAGAACATGTTGCAGTTTTAGAGCAAGTTTGTTGTAATAAAAAAAAGAAGCTATGGGACGGAGAGAAGATTTAGCAATTTTATAACACATTTTATGTCATTCTACTCATTTTGCCATGGGGCGGGGAGAACATTTTGCAGTTTTACATCTAATTTCCTGCAATTCTACACATTTTGCCGTTACTCATGCAATGTTAATATGATTTCTGAGTGAAAGTGACTAACAAAATCAATGGGAGCCTCCTGGAGGTCATGGCCCCTGGGCAATTCAACCGTGATTACTATTAAGTTTAGATAGCTGGCTAGACTAACTTACCAAGCTAAACATTTTTAGCTGACATGGGTCGAGTGACTGTCAGTGACTGACAAAACAAGAGAAAAACTGCTGATGCACAATCAAATTTCGAATTACACCTTGTGTATTCTACTATTCTAACACTCAAGTTGAGGCGTCCATTGATCGGGGCCCCTAAGATACCGCTTATATCGTTTATGCCTAGGGCTGGCCCTGCTGTAGGCTATATTCTCCAGAGCTATCTCGCTCTCCACAGAATCCTCACTGTGTGAACACAGGATTTAATCTCTGGAGGTTTATAGGTTGTTATCAATAAGCATCACAGTAAGGTGCAGAACGTTCGATTCGCCTGGTGGGCAGAGACCCCCAGCTCCGCCATTGACAACTGAATATCGTTTTCAAGGGATTGTCAAATACATTTTACAGCTATTTTGTTGGATCACCTCTTGAAGAGCAGTAAGATTATTCAGATTATTCCATGCAAAACAATTGCGCACATTTAGCCCTATCATAAGTTATACAGCAGGCCTAACTGCATGCTTTTCATTGATCAGTAGCCTAAACATAAATTGATCTTGTATTTTCAAATAAGTGAGGGTAGCCTATTCAGTTGTCATATACAGTGCATTCGGAAAGTATTCAGACACCTTCCCTTTTTCCACATTTTGTTACGTTATAGCCGCATTCTAAAATGGATTACATTAATCAATCTACACACAATACCCCATAATGACAAAGCAAAAACAGGTTTTAGACATTTTCGCAAATGTATAAAAAATAAATAACATAAATAACTTATTTACATAAGTATTCAGATCCTTTACTCAGTACTTTGTTGAAGCACCTTTGGCAGTGATTACAGCCTAAGGTCTTCTTAGGTATGATGCTACAAGCTTGGCACACCTGTATTTGGGGAATTTGTCCCATTCTTCTCTGCAGATCCTCTCAAGCTCTGTCAGGTTGGATGGGGAGCTGTCACGATCGTCTTGAGAAGAAGCGGGCCAAGGCGCAGCGTGATATGCGTACATAATATTTATTGAATGTACAACACAACGAACAAAACAACAAACGATACGAAACGTGAAGTCCTACGGTTACACAAACCAAACGGAACAAGATACCACCCCAAAACAATGCCAAACGGCTACCTAAGTATGGCTCCCAATCAGAGACAACGAGCTACAGCCGTCTCTGATCGGGTACCACCCTGGCCAACATAGAAATACCAAACTAGAACACAACATAGAAACTCACACCCTGGCTCAACATACAAGAGTCCCCAGAGCCAGGGCGTGACAGTACCCCCCCCCCAAAGGCGCGGACTCCAACCGCGCCAACCAAACACAACAGGGGAGGGGCCGGGTGGGCACTCCGCCTCGGCGGCGGATCCGGCTCCGGGCATGACCCCCACTCCCTCTCTAACCCCCTAAAGCGCCCCTGGTCCGGTCTGGCCCTGCTGGCCGGAGCTGGACTGAACACTGGTGGAGCGGATTGCTCTAGCTCCGGAGTGGAGCAGCTGACCGGTGCCGGACCAGGCACCGGTGGAACAGGCACGGGCTGTGCCGGACTGACGACGCGCACCACTGGCTTGGTGCGGGGAGCAGGAACGGGCCGAACCGGGCTGACGACGCGCACCACTGGCTTGGTGCGGGGAGCAGGAACGGGCCGGACCGGGCTGACGAAGCGCACCACTGGCTTGGTGCAGGGAGCAGGAACGGGCCGGGCCGGGCTGGCGACGCGCACCACAGGCTTGGTGCGGGGAGCAGGAATGGGCCGGACCGGGCTGACGACGCGCACCACATGACTTGGTGCGGGGAGCAGGAACGGGCCGGGCTGGCGACGCGCACCACAGGCTTGGTGCGGGGAGCAGGAACATGCCGGACCGGACTGACGACGCGCACCATTGGCTTGGTGCGAGGGGCAGGAACAGGCCGGGCCGGGCTGGCGACGCGCACCATAGGCTTGGTGCGAGGGGCAGGAACAGGCCGGACCGTACTGGGGACACACACCACCGGCCCTACGCGG